CTGCATACAGGTTTGTTGGCAGGCTTGGCCTTTTTAACATACTGGTATTTCTGGACCAGTAAAGCTCTAGATTAAGCATAGCTGTAGCTTGAGCAAAAGCATTATCTGGTTTGCTGAAGAAAATAAACTATGCAAAAGGAGAAAAAAAAGCTATGTGTATAAATTCATATATATATTACCCATATTTTTATATGGTTGCATCCACAAAAGAAGGAAAACTCCACAGAAGAATAAGAACCCATATAAAAATGGAGATGTCAGCGGAGTTCTGGGTTTTTCTTTGTGCTTCTTATTGGCTTATCTGTCAAGCTGGGCTTTTGAATTTGAGCTAGGCTTTGTTATCGTGCAGAAAATTGTGTATTGAAGGTTTTTTCCTCAATCATAGTAAGATGTATAGAAAATTTCTTTGCTGCTTCTGTATATAAATTCTGAACTTGACCATTGTAGGACTTTGGATGCCTGTCATATTTTTCATATTGTATAAAGTTTACAAAAGGGGAATAGAGGTAGAACGTGGTTATTACTCCTTATCGTGGGTGTTAAAATTAGTTACAGTCCAATAAGTATGCAGGTTGTGAATTTTTGTTCAGATTGAAAAATTTATCTGGATTTATAAGGGGATTACTCATAATCCAGTCATTGTTTTGTACTGCTTATTTCCCTTTAAATTGTAAAACAGTTTTGTGTATATAGCATGTGATTTATGCTGAGTTTGATGCAAGTTTTCTCCTAAGTCTGTCTTTTTTCTGGGAGGATGGGGAGAAAATGTAGACAAATTGTGTGATCTGGACTAGCTCTCCTGTTTTGTGTTTTCTGATTATGGGAGAAATGGTACACCAAATTCCAGTCTCAACTGAGTGCTCAGTCTTTCTCATCTAAAGTTGAGTCATTTTAAAAAATGAATCATAATTTTTTATGTGGGCTAAATCTTAAACAGTTTTGAGCTTAGTAGGTAAATTTGTCTTCAGTTATAAAAAGTATCTTTGTTAGGACTGAAAGACAGTTAAAGAAAAATGAGACACTTTGACACTTTTACTGTTACATATGCAAGTTTCTTATTTCTAGTGGCATGATTTTAATTGTTTTGCCTTTATTCTGAAACAATACATCATTAGCCCAGGTTTCATCTGTATATCTATTGTTTTGGAGTCTTCATTTTAAAATAAAATTTCTGCAGCACTATGTGGAATCCAGCAGCTTTTCTCCCATGTACTAGTAATAGCTTTTCAGTTAGCAGTCCTCCACACCATGCCTAGCCTGTTTGTTATGCCCCAAACTCACCGGAGCATGAGGTGGGAAACCACATCTTGCCTCATCCAAGGAAAGCTCTGATTCCTGGGCCACAGTTTCCCTTTTTCTCCTTCCATCTCCTTGGCTAAATGAACACTGCTGTGTTCTATCCAATTTGCACCAGAAAATGAGTTGAATGATAAGGGTGCAAATCCATTGAGGCAGAGGAGAGAATTGAAGGTCTTCAGTGTTCTGAGTGAATGCTCAAAGCACTGGGTTAATGGATAATAAAAATAGTAAAATTGTGATAACAGAAAAGGATGTATGTTTCATGAAACAAACTTGATATTTAAAGCTACCTGAAAATCATACTGTGCCAGCTATAGCTTTGTGGATAAGATGGGAATTAAGCACTACAGTGACAGGCTGTATCTGTGTGCTATATCTACGCATATTTAGAAACTGTCTCTGTCAAGGAGAGCTTGGAATACAGAGACTTAGACAGAGAAGGAATTTGTCTGTGATTTAAAAAATAGATAAGAGTTGTCTAATGGAGTTTCAGACCGTACTTGTATTTTAACATGAGCGGTGCTTATGAATTTACTGAGACTGCTTACAAAGTGGTAAGTTGCTAAGTTATGCAGAACATCTGTACTTGGAGGTAACAGTGAGAACAGAGGTTCAGGTTTGACACTTGTGTTTACACCATCATTTTCCAGTGAATTCGTAGATGATTTGGATCAGACTAAATGAACTGTAATGGAACCCATAGTATTGTTGTTATTTCCTAGTTAGAGAAACTTAAAGGGAAAAGTCAGTTCCTAGTTGCTTCTGTGTATAATTTGTGGATTTTTTAATCTTTTTTAAATTGAAACATTTACTTAATTTTTTTTAAGTAGAATTGAGAGCATTTTATTGGAGTTTCTTGTTTTTATTGGCAGAGAACTTTCCCAGACAATGCCTCTTGTATTTCTTTTTTTCCTTTGTTATTTTTGAATGTGATCCCCAAATAAGAATGAAATTTGAAAATTATCCTATTTTTCATATCCTTTTAGGTCAACTCATTAAAGATGGAACACGTTCCTAATACTAGTTTTCCTACTATAGGCTTAGGAAGGAGAATTAATTTTTCTGATGAATGTCAGCACTGTTAAAGAGTACACATGCAGACGACTGTCAGTTGGCGTTTGACTTAAAATATCGATATGTCATTTCATAGCATTTTAAAATATCTCAATTTGTGTTAGTTTGGATACTGTCACATGAACTGAAAAAAATGATTGAATGACTGTGAACAGAAGACTGTGAAAAGTGGTTCTGCCTTGGCTGTGAAATGTATGTCATGGTGCTCGTAATAAATACAGCTCCTGGCCAGATTGTGGAAATATCTTTAAGAGTTTTGCCTGGGACAACCGAAACAGGATTTAAATCCATAGACCCTTTTTTCATGACAGTTATTTCAAGTATGGAATTAAGTATGCTTTTTGGATGTGACTGCTTTAAGCTCATGCACAAAAAAGGTGAATAGTTGTGTTGTTGCTGGACTAGAGAATATTTTCTATCTTGATACTTGACTAAGACAAATATGAGCAAAACAAAAAGCAAACATTTAATTTATTTTTAATAAGTAACAAAACACAGGTTTTTGGTTTTAATTACAGTTGTGTAGGCACATAATACTCATTTAAAGTTGAATAGAATTAATCTGGCAAATTATGAAATGAAAGCAGCATGGTCATTGCTGGGAGAAAACCTCAAGACACTATTGTAAATCTGCTAGAAAGTGGACCATTTCTATTTTATTTATTTACTTTTTTTCTTTTTTGGATAATAAAAGGTGTGTGGAGAGACCTTGCTGTCTTTCTATTTGATGTGTGTTTAACCTCTTTCCTCCAAAGTTCAGAAAAATTGGGTTTTGGGATGAGGTTCAGTCACCTCTGTCATGCATCTGCTCATCTCACACTGCCATTGTCATGATTATTTACTTCATTATCATAAGGTGCAATAATTTTTGTATACAACCTTGTATATGACTACTGAAAAACGTATTTAAATAAGAGATCAAGTAAAAAAGAAATTTTTGTTAGTCATCAATCTGTGTACGTCCTAATCAGTAAATATCTAACCCATCAACTTCTAATTACAGTACTTAATAAAATTTATTCCTTAACATATTAATGTTTTACTTTTTTATAGTTTTTTGTCTCTTTCACATAAAGCTGTAATTATTTACTGTATTTCAAATTTCACAGCAAGACTATAGGTGACTTGCTCAAGTAAATATTTGCTGTGACTGCCCATGAGACTGGCTAAACTCTGTTAGTTACAGTTGACAAAAACGTTGAAATACATCCCATCAGTGGAAATAAACTGTCTTATTTAGGCCAGACATAGTGTCGGGTGTTTTCATCTAAGAAAATTTCATAAAATGACAAACATTGAGAAAAGCCATTCTTACTACAATCAAAACTGTGTATGAGGGTGAGGGGGAAACAACTCCTCCAGCTGATTTTTGTGGTGTGTCCTGTCTATAGCTGTTATGAACTGTTACAAAGCTATTGTTCATATCCTTTGCTGCTACGTTTTCTCCTTCCAGGTTGCATAATTTACTAAATGTACTTTTTTAAAGTCAGGTTTAAGGTGCTGAATTTCTTTAACTTTTAAGAACTATTTCAATACTCTATTTTGCAGGTATAATTAAAAAATCAGTAAGAGTAATGTTTGTAATTTTAAGTATCCAACTAATTGCTCATGTGATAGTCCTGTTCTTGGTCCACTTTTTGCTCCTCTCCTTTCCTTCCAGGTTTTGTTGTAGAAATAAATATTCAGCCATTAATTTTACCTGTTTTCTTCTGTAATGCATCTGCTACTCATTACTAGCTCATGGTTTACTTCGGTGTTGGGGCCATTATGCACTCAACTACTGTGTTTTAAAGAAAAAATGGAGTTACAATTTTTTTTTTTTTTATTGCTGAGGTATTTAAAAGATAGTTATGTACATGATGCATTCTAAGTAAATCTGAGTTTAAGGAGTTTATGTAGTAGCTACTTACTGAAATAACTGTTTTGTTATGCTTCAAATAGAGAATTAAAAACAAATAGGAAAGGTTGGACCTATGTACTTCTGAACTGCAGGGATTTTGCACAGTTATGTTAGAAAAAAGTATTCCTAAAGTTACTGTAGCTGACAGTGGTTAGAATATCTTAGAAATCTGCAGAAAATGAGGTTTCAATAATAACAAAGAGATCTGCAAAAAATGAGGTTCCAATACCAACATTTGTTTTCTGTGACGTGACCACAGAAAAAGATTTTTTTTCTTCAAATTTCCCCTTTATCTTGATGTTGTCAGGCATTTCTGACAGTTCCTCTACTCAATGGCAGCTATGCCAGAGGAGATTTAGTAGCGCTGTTGGGAATGACCGTGTTCTGTAGATGACTCAGTTTTCAAGGACAAGAAAAGTGACTTGAAATAGTCCTTGCAAACAACTCCTTCAAAAATACGCTACTTAACAATAGTTAAGGATTGGATCAAAGAGTGTTTGTTTCTGAGCATTTTGTATTTATTTGCTGATTTTTACAGTATTTATTGAGAGGGTACAGTATGTTCTCATTTTCTTTGTGCCCACAGCTCTCATACAGCTAGAGAAAATTACTAATGTGCATTGAGAAAAGCTATTAGCAGTTTGCTTGGTGTTTCTTTAATTACAATTTGTATTATGTAAATCAGTTTTCTGTATTTTCATTTTCTCTCTCCTTATTCTTCATCCAGATTCCACCAAGAAAATTAAGGATGTCTTAGAAGAGTTCCATGGCAGTGGTGTGTTAGCAAAATATAATCCTGAAGGGGTAATTATTCTTCTTTCTTCAACGGTCAGAAATGGTGGGGGAAAATATTTACAAATGTTGTAGCATATCTAAGCATTTGAAATAGAAGATTATTTATTAAAAAATGAGCTGTTTGGCGTATTTGAAACTGTTTGGAAGACAAAAACATGAATATTTTGATGAACTGAAAGTTTATAAATGTCACATTAGGCAAACCTATTTAATAATTTACCTAAACCCACATTTTCTTTTCTAAGATTTAAACAGACACAAAATCCCTCCAAACTTACGGTAAGGTTAACATGCTTCTGGACTCTTTTTAAAAATTGAAAATGTTAAGCATAATTTCAAAAGACAGAAAAGTAAAATCTGTTCACTTGAGATTTCTTTTAAAATTCTGTTTCTCTTATGTTGTTTCTGGTGATGGGATCTCCCTTATTAAAGAGGAATTTTTTTCTGATGTTGTGAAACAAAGAATTCAGCTGAAAAAAAAAATGTGTATGTGCATTGTCAATACAGATTCACCACTAGCCTAAATATTCTTGTTTCTAGGTATTCTTGCATTATGTGGAAGTCATGATAGAAAAATGTGCTAATCATTATGAAAATCACTTGATCTTACATTTCAGGATGTAAAAGACAAGAGTTATTGTCAAATAAGGCAGTTATAGCTCATTAAGTATTGAAAAATTCTTTGACACTTTGAACTTTGCAAAGCATAATGTTGGTCATTTTAGTTTCTGAGGAAAATATTTCATTTTTCAGTAAAATAGTATGAGTTGAGCTTGTAAATGATCATCTTAAATCTCTATTATTTTAATTAAATAAAATAGACTATAAAAGAGGTAATAGATTATAAAAGGATTGGAATGCTGTGATCATCTAATTTATTCTTCAGTGTGACATAGGCTGTAGGACCTCCCTTAATATAAAGAAAGTAAACACTTCCTTTTTTTGAGGGTGGGGGTTAGAAAAGTGTGAACTGTTGATTTACAAAGTCAGTGCTTGCTTTTTTGTTTTCTTTTAACTTCTGCAGTTTTCTTTGTGCTTATAGTGTATGTGATAAAATGGTCTTAATTTATTATTCACATTTTTTCTTGAAATTCTGCACTTGTCACTCATACAACAGTTTCAATTTTGTGAAGTGTAACCTTTTAAAGTACAAAATAGTTGTGTATTTTGTGCATATTTAAATAACATGTCAGCATGTAGGTAACATTATCAAACTATCAATGGTGATGTATATCAGTATTTATATATATTATAAGTTTCTATATATATGTATTTATATATATCAGATGCAAATCAGTATTTAATGTTGTGAGGTTACTCTCTTTTAACAAAGTCATTCCTCCAGTTTGGGGGTATGTGGAGGATGAGTCATGACCCTGTAGTGGCTTCAGTGTCTTCAGCAGGGATCAAGCTTGTCACTACTACTGGGTCAATGTTGGACCCAGGCTAAACCCGACAGCTTTTGCACTTTGCTCCTTAGCACTTAGACTTTAGGGAGTGCAACGTAAGGAAAACATAGCTAGTGGTGAAGCTACTTTGGATCTAGTAGGATTTATTAGCTCAGGTTGCATGCCATAAGCTGCTGAACTGGAAGCAAAGTGGCTGAAATTTTTGCTGCAGTGAGTGAATGTTCCAAGTCAGATGCAGCTGCCTTTGCACAGGTGTGTCTATATTTTTGGCATGCATTCAACCTGCTATGTGGATAAACTCTTTGCAGAATGATTTGCAAGTTGATTGTATCTGGTCGGATGAGCACTCCATGACTTGGATGTACTATTTACGTTAAGTCATTAAGTATTTTCTGTAAATAAGATGACAAAAATTGACTGATCCAGCTGAAGTCAGTCACAGTGCGGCTTTTTCTTCCACAAATTATCAACAGTACATCTGTTTTATTGTGTTTTGTAGAGGATATAATCATGTTTCCATTTTGGCTCTTTATGTCCTAGCTTATTATCTCATAAGCATTCCAAGTATTTTTCAAGTCTTGTCAATATTCTACCAAAAGGTGGTGCCAGTTTTTTCCCAATAAACATGGAACATAGAGCTATGTCAGATTTAGCAGTGTGATACATTTATGTGCTTAAGAAAAAGCCTGAAGAACTTCCTGTTTCAAGCTTTTCCCTGCTTAAAGGGTTCAGGAAATTATTCCACTCCGTTGCATCTATATTGCAGTTTTTTGTCACAAGCTGATTTAATGGGACACACATAGCAAAATAAAAGCTATTGGTGTTCGAAGCTTGTCACCTGAAGTCATCTGGTTTGTTTTTCCATTATCTTATGTCTTGTTGAGTGGATGGGTTTTGAGCTTAGTGGAAATGACGTATCTGATTATCAGAATGTCATCCAGTATAGGGAGTTAATTTATGGAGCTTTTACTCTCTGCTTTAAGCGTAGGGGAGATGACCCTTCTTCTATAAGTCAATGTCAAATATGTAATTAAGACTAGATTTTATATATGATATAAGACACATAGGTAGGTCAAGATCAGCCTTCTGGAAAGCTGTGATTATAAACAGTCTTCCATGATTTGAGATTTATCTAAATTAACTAATTTCAGCTATTTCACTTTGAGGGGAGCACTGAATAGGGAAGCAAGAATTAGGAAAGCAGATGAAGCGAAAGACTATCCAAATGGGCAGTAAGTGCACATTGTTGTGTGCTTGTAGTCCTAGTGTCGTTACCTTTTTGAGGGATCTGTTAGAGTGCATCATAATTTCTTGTTGACCTGCTTACCTACTTGCCACCTAGAGCTCTTGGGGTTAGTCAATGTGTGGAGAGTGAGGGTGGAAGGTGCATGGAGGGGTCTCAGCCAGACAAGCAGTCAGGGTGCAGCTTGGGTCTGCATGTGGAGCGGGGCAGTGCTCCAGAGTTCCACAGTTTGGATGTGCGTAAAAAGAATAAATGCACATATGCAGAAAGACTAGGAAAACAAAATTTTCCAGGAAGGTTATGACAGTGAATGCATGATACAAGGTACATTCCATGATCTGATCTGCCCCGAGAGGTGAAGCCCCAGTTTTTTGTTTGCAGTCAGATTGCAATCATCTGCCTACTCCAAAGGGTTTTTGCATTTTTGGGAGTAGTGCAGATACTTCTAAGAAGCTTTCTCCAGGGTCCTGATTTCCAGAGGATTTAGGTTTTTCCAACTTAACTCTGTGAACATATCAAAGATACTTCTTGTAACTCTAGTTTAGCAAAAGTCTGGCACAATCAGTATAATTTATGCAGAGATTACAATTGTTTCTATAATTTTAAGGTAGCACCTCTTAGAGGGAAGTAGTGATAGCAGTTTGTGATTAAGGTAGAAAATTGATTCGGAACCTTTATGAAATGGAATAAAAATTATCAGAAACTAAAGCGGCATATAGTGATGACTTTTGCGTAGTGCTTGCTCGTGTTTATAGAATCATAGAATCATTTTGGTTGGAAAAGACCCTTAAGATTGAGTCCAACCATTAATCTAACACTGCCAAGTCCGCCACTAAGCTATGACCCTAAGTGCCACATCTACACCTCTTTTAAATACCTCCAGAGATGGGGACTCAATCACTTTCCTGAACGGCCTATTCCAATGCTTGACAACCCTTTCAGTGAAGAAATTTTTCCTAATATCCAATCTAAACCTCCCCTGGCACAGCCTGAGGCCATTTCCTCTTATCTTATCACTTGCTACTTGGGAAAAAGAGACTGACCCTCACCTCACTACAGCCTCCTTTCAGGTAGCTTTAGAGAGTGATAAGGTCTCCCCTCACCTTCCTTTTCTCCAGACTAAACAAATTCCTTCAGGATACAAGACTTGTTCTCTAGACCCTTCACCAGTTTAATTGCTCTTCTTTGGACATGTTCCAGCACTTCAGTGTTTTTATTATAGTGAGAAGAGGCCCAAAATTGAGCACAGTATTTGACGTACAGCCTCACCAGTGCTGAGTACAGGGGGACAATCGCTTCCCTGCTCCTGCTGGCCACACTATTCCTGATACAAGCCAGGATGCTGTTGGCCTTCTTGGCCACCTGGGCACACTGCTGGCTTATATTCAGCTGGCTGTCAACCAACACCCCCAGGTCCTTTTCCATCAGGCAGTTTTCCAGCCACCCATTCCCAAGCCTGTAGCGTTGCATGGGGTTGTTGTGACCAAAATACAGGACCTGGCACTTGGCCTTGTTGAACCTCATACAATTGGCCTTGGCCCATTGATCCAGCCTGCCCAGATCCCTCTGCAGAGCCTCCCTACTCTCAAACAGATCAATGCTTTCGCTCAACTTGGTTACATCTGCTGACTTACTGAGGGTGCACTGGATCCCCTCATCCAGATAATTGATAAAGATATTAAACAGAACTGGCCCCAATACTGAGCCCTGGGGAACACCACTCGTGACCAGCTGCCAACTGGAATTAATGCCATTCACCGCAACTCTTTGAGCCTGGCCTTCCTTTTTTTTTTTTTACCCTGTGAAGAGTATGCCTGTCCAAGCCATAGGCACTCAGTTTCTCCAGGAGAATGCAGTGTCAAAGGCTTTACTAAAGTCTTGGTAGACAAGATCCACTGCCTTTCCCTCATCCACTGAGTGGGTCACCTTGTCATAGAAGGAGATTAGGTTAATAAGTCAATCAAGTCCTAAACTTTCATAAACCCATGCTGACTGGGCCTGATCACCTGTTTGTCCTGGACATGCTGTGTGATGGCACTCAAGATGATCTGCTCCATGACCTTCCCTGGCACCAAGATCAGACTGACAAGTCTAGTTCCCTGGATCCTCCTTCCAACCCTTCTTGTAGGTGGGTGTCACATTTGCTAACCTCCAGTCAACTGGGACCTCCCCAGTTAGCCAGAATTGCTGATAAATGATGGAAAGTGGCTTGATGAGCACTTCTGCCAGCTCCCTCAATACTCTTGGGTGTATCCCATCCAGCCCCATAGACTTGTGTATGTCTAAGTGGTGTAGCAGGTCACTAACCATTTTCCCTTGGATTAACGGGGCTTCATTCTGTTTCCTTTCTTCTAGCTCAGGGCCCTCAGTACCCTGAGAACAACTGGTCTGACTATTAAAGACTGAGGCAATAAAGGCATTAAGTACCTCAGCCTTTTCCTCATCCTTTATCACTATGTTTCGCCCTGCATCCAACAAAGGATGGAGATTCGCCTTAGTCCTCCTTTTGTTGTTAATGTATTTGTATTTACCATTGCATTCACTTCTGATTAAGTTGTTTAGTTAACAGCTATTCTTGGTAACAAGTAATTTTTTACATTTTTTTAAAGTACACCAGGATGAAGACAAACATTGTATTTACTTTTTTTTTCCCCCTTGGTTATCTGTCATTGCATGGTTAAAAATAAATTGCTTGCACTCTCTAATCAAGACTAGAATGCTGCCTTAGAACCATTTTCTTGACATATGTGCTACTGCAAGAAAATGGGGTATTCTATCTAATGTCTTAAACTTGTTCATCTACATCACTAACCTTTCAACAAAACAGTTCTATTATAAAAACAGAACCTGAGGGTTACGACACTGCACTAATGTATGTGTGTTCTTTCTTTCCTTGCATGCATTACAGAAACAAGATATACTTAATCAAGTAAGTAATTTTAATTTGATTTTTTTTCTTTTGTTATGCATAGGAGCAGTATCTTTTATTTTGTAGGCTTCCATTGAGATGTCACTTAATTAATACTGCATGTGGCTATTCTGTCAGATAATCAACAAATATTTAAGGCTGAGAGCAAAGTGCACTCATTTTCTGCTGGCAGACTTCTTCACTATGTGAATTTCAGTTTTGTCATTCACAGTACATAATTTTGCTAACATTAATTGAGAGGAATATGAAAGATAAGTTAAGAGCAAGTAATTAACTTGTTCCGTACTTGTCACAGAAATTTCTGCTTACTAGTGAGATCTCATAAAGGTTTGTATTATTCTTAAATAGCAGTAGCATATCTCAGAAAAAAAGAATGAAATACTGTTTCTGTAACCATATAATACCATTTATATGTAGCAGGCTTAAAATTGCAGATTTTATAATTTGAATAAGGCTTATAGTGTGCTTTAAGCGATTGTGACTTTACAGCAATTGCAAGAGAAAAATGGTTAAAGAGCTGATCATCAACCTCAAGACTCTACTCCTGAGAAGCTTCAGTAGCCTAAAACCAGGTATAAAAATACAATGAAAAAAAACCCCCAAAACCTAGGGAAGGACTAATCAAATGAACTAGTTTTCTAAATGACCTAGTTATTCTTCCTTTTTGTAGCAAAGAGGTGTTAAAAGCCCTTGCTCTGCTGCTCCGGGAAGAGGCAGCCGGAACATGAGAACAATGAAAAAGTCAAGAGACTGAAAGGATTAGCTTTGTAGGAACCCCTCACTTTCTGGGGTCAAAGGCCGGTTGAGCTTTTGGAGGTGTGTAACTGAGAGCAGTACTCCCTGTTCTAAAAAGGGCTCAGTTTTCTTCAGATGACCAACATTACTTTTTTAGTAAGGCAACAGTGTGACTGCAACGGATCCTGAAAGAGAAGGTATTCAGGTTAAAGCAGCGTGTTTAGGACCATTCTTGAGACTAATCTCATTAGGATTTTTGCCAATAACTTTGCCAAAATAAGCAGATGAATACTAATAGAATCAGCTCACTAAACCAAAGTTGGGAATTGTTGCTAAAGTGGAAAAAAACCTGAATATGGTACTGGAAAAGCTTGATGTTGTTATGGACTATAGTAAATGGAAATGGAATGAAATGCACTCATGCAGAGTACAGTGTGGTGTACCCTGGGACAAGCGGCATTGTTAGAGAAAGAGCTGAGTGTGGTGTGGAACACAAGATGATTGCAAAGCATCCTTGTGATTTGGTCATGTAGAAGAGAAATGTATTACTGGGACATTGTAACAGTATACCTGTGGCGACGGTGGTCTGAAGACAAGACAAGACGTGTATGAAAAGGTAGTGTCTTAGGCCATCTTAGGCCAATTGACGTAAGTGGAAAACCAGTTAAAATTTCAAGCACACAAAAACATGGATTGAAAGAAGGATTTTTTCGCTGTTTCCCTCAGTTAGATTCTTTGATCTGACAGAAGATACTTATTTACAGTAAAGAACTTGCCTTATTATGATATATAAAGTGAAGTATTTCTACTACAGGTAAGGAAGATTTAATTTTCTATAAAAAGGTACTGCAGAAACCACATCTTTCTGCTCTTGACCAAATGATGGGGCAGAGTGAACTCAAATTGGAACTAATTTACAGAAGGGTTAGTAGGATGTGGAGAGATCTATTATGTAGGAGAAGCCCGTCCCTCACATGTAACAAACTGAGGACTAAGAAAGGATGTTGTATCTTTCCAGCTACAAAAGAGAAAAAATTAGCAACTTGTGAGTATCACCAGCAGAAAACTCTACCCTTCAGACACTGGGCACTCAGTGTTTTTCTGGCTCTCTAGGCAGAATTTCTAGGGAAACAGCTTCCTGGATACCTAGAGAGTTGGGAACCCTGCCAGGCAGAGATGCTGGCAGTCTGGCTGTGAGCCTGCTTCCTGTGGGAAGTGTTGAGGGCACCGAGGTGTAGAATGTTTCAGATAGTCAATTTCTGCTGCAAAACTGTTCAGTTTTGAACATTTTCAATGATCTTTAGTGGTCTCTTTGTCTCCTTTCCTCAGTCTGTGCGAACATCTCCCCCTCTTTCATACCTTCGTTCCCTTTTGAATACTTCCCCTTTCTGCCTTAAGATCCTTTTTTTATCTTTTTTTCCTACTTTTTTGCATTGCACGGTATTTTATGTTTGACCTTTATGAGCCTCGTACTGCTTTCATTTACATGTTACCTGTTTAGTACACATTGCTTGTTAATTGGCTAACTCAAGGACTGTGTTCCAGTTCTGATGTGCACTAGATACTGTTTCAAAGTATTTTAAAAGAAAAAGAGTTTACTTTTTGGTTTATTAGGGTACCACCATCACTATTTAGGTAGAAGTTGATAGTGAATTTTAAGCTGTCTTGATATTCAGGCCAGAAGGACCATTTGATTTCAAAGAATATGCTGTTTAAAACTACACCATTTTTAAAGAAAAACAACAAAAAAAAAGTGGCGGGTTGCACTGGTGTCTGTTTTATTTTTAACATATTTTATTTGAAGAGTGACAGACTACCCTGACAACATTTCAGCTCCTCTAACAGCATGAGCAGAGTATAAATATGGTACCAGTTATGGTACTGAGTTATCAAGTATGAAAAATGCTATCCTCGTATTTTCATATTCATTTGAAATATCAGCTAAGTTGGTCTTTTCTTAAAGTGAAATAAGCACAGAAAAAAATTCAGAATGGACACATTTTGTGTACTTCTTGATTTTTATATTGCCATTAATGTGTATTTAAAATTGATGCTGATTTCAGCACATGTATACATACAATGGTGCAATGTTTATTAGGAGTTACAACTATTTATTCTGCTAGTTATTGATGATAGATTTCATAATATATAACTGCTTACTAAGATTTGTTTAACATCAATGGAAAAGTATTTTTCTGGTTTTTTTTTTTTAAATTATTATAATTTTAATCGTATTACCCTCTGCCTTCATTTGATCACTACATGTCTGAAGTAATGTTGCAAAAGAAATAGCAGGGGAGAGGTATTTGGCTAATGAGTATCTGGACTCTGCGAAACAGAAGAGGTAAAGACATTTCCTTAAGAGAACAGCATTTCATGTTGAAATTCTGTTTAGTTTATAACAGTGAGAATTCTGAAACCATCAAATGAGTGCCGTGTTGGTTCTATAGTGATTTTTGGTTTTGTAACAGGTAATAAAGGACTGTAGTGCTAAAGCGCACAGGGATTTTTTAGGGATTCATTAATTTTCCTGGTTTATTTGATTTTAGTCTGAAGTATGCAACCTACGCCATTTTTTCTATCTTTTGTAGCAATTGTAATTTTCAGATGACCAAGTCTGCTGGGACAGAATGCAACCTATCTACTCTTCACTTTTTTTAGAGTGTAATAAATTATGTATATTTTTTCTAACGTTCTTCATTGGTAATATGTGTAGAATAAAACCTGGGTGATAATCTGCTACAAGATCTTTCTAAAAGTATGTGCTTTAGCACTCTTTATTCTTAAAAAAATCCTACCGTTGTGTAGTGAATATACCATATTTAGTAAATTTATGTATTATACATATATTTATGTGTGTAGTACATATGGATAAACATACTTACACACATATAATCATGTACTAAATAAAACCTGCTGGTAGTAAGGTTTTATTTTTTTCTTACCCAGATATAAGACTGGGATGACACTGCAGCAGCTGGTGAATACATTCCAGATTTATTTTAGTAATTAGCATCAGTTTATTTTAATGACATGAGAATGTAGTACAAGGTTATGCTTACAAATCTAGTTATTGCACAAAAATTGAGTCTTCCTATTTCCTTTTCAGATGTTTAGTTGAGTTTACTTCTTTGAAGAGACATGCTAGCTGCTCTCAAATATTGCAAAGTAATTTTTTTCTGATAGGAGACATAAATGGAAAATTTTGGCGGTTATATATGTCTGTAGTATTGATAATATCCAAATATTATTTGGCTGTATGGACTATTTGGTAGGAATGGCCTGTGAGAGCATGTGATTTTTTTTTCTTTAAATTTTTTTATTTTCTGTAAGCTTTCATCTCAGGAGATCAGAATTTGGATGCTGCTTTACCTAAGAAATAATTTTATTTGGTTACAAGAACTTTGAAAATTAATTATGTAAAAAATGTGTTAAATCAAATGCTTAGATCAGAAAATGCTGAGGACTTTCAATTTAAACCAAACTTTACCCTAATGCACAAAAAGCAATCTCCATGAGGAATTCCAAATTTAATTTTAATTTCTGCCATACAAACATTAGAAATAAATATTAAACACCAAGACCATGTGCATTCTCACGTAATTCATGGTTTCTAGCTTATTAACCCTCTCTATATGTTCTCTGCTTTTTCCCCCCGCGTATTTTGTCAAAAGTCAGGTTTTGAAACATTGTCAGAATCAATGAATCTTCAAAACTTGGACTTTCACTGGGGATGCTTTAGCATTGCTTTTGACAGCTTATCATGTAATTGTCACTAATGCACTAGCATTAATGTGTGCGATTGTTGTCATAGCGTTATGTGTCAATCAAGGCCCTGTAATATCTACTCCTTTTTCAACAGCTCATTTTTCAGATATTGGATCAATACAAATTATTTAAAAAGAAATGATCAATTAAGGGGACCTACCACAAATAAAAATAACCCAGAGCTATTACTGTCAGTAGATTAAAGCTGATTATACTCTGCATTTTTGGCACCATTTGGAGATCAGGCAACATAATTTAAAAAGTAATTAATTGAAAATTACATTTCAACATAATTCTCTTTCCATTATCTCTCAAATGTGCTCTTTAGTAAGTGAAAACTATATTTCATGGAGGTCTGCTGAAATGAATTATTTCCCTCCCCCCCCTTACATTCTTTTTTTTTCCCTTAAACCGACAAAACCAATGGCTTATGTTGAAGTATTTTGTACAAATTTAAAAAAAAGAAAAAAACACAAAGAAAATGTGGTATTATAAAA